TTTATCTACTCACGTGAGTTTTCAAACTGTTGGGTTGACAGGAACTGGGGAGGCAACAGGAGCTCACCATGCTAACGCGAAGCCAGGCCTCGAACCGCTGAAGCGTCGACCATTTCTGGCCGGCAACTTTCAGCGTCATTAAGCCACTGCGCCACCGTTTCCCCCGCATATCAAATAAGATAGCCCAAATATTTATGCAGACTGGATGTTTGACTCTGCTAAATTGAATCGTACTCATTTTCCAGAAAACCACATCTCTGCGTGTAGAGTAGAGCATGTTTTTACAGGCAGTGTTTTTCTTTTAGAAGAGGCATTCCTTTCTCTGTATGGAGTAAAAAAATAATGCTTTATTTAAGATGATATGTGAAACTTCCATTTGTAAGAATTTGAAAGTTTTTAAAAAAAGAATTTGGGTCTTAAAAAAGATTAGCTTGTTCACTAAAAACTACAATGCAGCTTGTCACTCTTACAAGAAAATAGTTTGTCAGCATTGCAAATTGTATTGAAAAACTCAATAAAAAGGAAGTTTGCAGTCCTTCTAATCTTATCTCGTTTCATCTGAAAAATGAACGCTATTTATTCTGTCCAGACAAATGTGAGCTCTGTATTTGTTTGAAATTAGCTCAATGTAGTATGCCATTTATCTGAACAGAGCAGAGTTGGAAATAAATTTTGTACAAGAATATTTTTTGAGAAAGTAAAAATATATTTCAGTTCAGCTTTATGTGTGCCAAAACTAAGAAAAAGGTCTAACTTCATAACACTGTTAACATTATCTACTTTTGTAATAAGTGCTTTTTGTAATTATCCAGGCTTGCTTTGCTTCCCTTGTAAGCCAAGATTATGTAAATGGTACAGATCAAGAAGAAATTAGAACTGGTAAGTATGGGTGTCCATCTTCAATTTAACTTCAAATATTATGCAAAATGGTCATCTCTTTTTCTCTTACTGCCCTTTGTTTTGAACATGTTGAGATTGAACTTTACCCACCTTTATGAAATTGGAGTGATTAATAACAACAAAGAAGGCTTAACAACCAATTGTGGTTGTTATGTGGAATTGATAGGATTGGAATGTTTTTCATTTAAATTACCTCATGGAAGATGTATAAAATTAGACAGGCATTTATTCTACTAAGAAATCTGTTTGTTGTTGGCAGAACACTAAGGGGGTTATGGGTAGTGAAACTACGATATTACTGGAGTGGGTAGAACTGAATTTTGTGGCTTTTTATATGTGAGCTTAAGAGTAAAATACACATTCCAGGCTCATAACAGGGTGGGATGTTCCAGGTATCACAAATATCAAGCTGAGAGCTGCATGCCATTCTCCCCAGTCTCAATTTAAAACCTGAAGTTATCAGGCAGTCTTTGCTTAACGACCCTAATTAGGACCAGAATTTCTGTCACTAAGCGATGAGGTTGTTAGGCAAAACATCATGTGACTGCACTGCTTAGCAGTGGCAGTTCCAGTTAGGCAAGGACCACGTGCTTCTGTCCTGCTGCGTTCACCTCCGCTTAACTCCCCCTACCCACCTATCTCCCCCCATCTCTGCCCTTTTGGCTACCTTGCTCTCCACTGCCCTGTCAACCTTCACCATCTTCCTCCTGCTGCTTATGAGGTGCACCAGGCCTGGAGCTTCTCAAGGCAACTGCTGGCCTTATTTTTACATTTTACACATGCAGACTCAAGTTCACACTTCCTGTCTCTTAACTGATACAGCATTTGTCCTGACGTTTATTCTTTAATAGCCTTAAAATGTTGTTGCTCATTTCCTAGGTGTTGACCAATGTATCCAGAAATTTTTAGACGTTGCGCGACAAACTGAATGCTTTTTCCTACAGAAAAGGCTACAATTATCTGTCCAGAAACCAGACCAAGTAATTAAGGAGGTAAGGGCTATGATTTTCTTTAGGCTTAAGCATGATTATCTGATTCTGTGCTAAATTACAACACAGTAATTGGAATAGTGTGAGTGAGATCTTGATCTTAAAAGGAGTGGAGGGGACTTTAGTTGGAATTACTTCTGCATAACTGCTTAAAAAAAAGAGTGGAACCCTGTTGAATAGAGCTATAACTCATTTATTAAATAAATTAGGACTGAATCCACCCTGAGCAGAGTATTTTAATGTACCTGGTGAAGAACTGATTAATCGTTGTATGATGATGATGATTTGTTAACTCTCATCTGTATTAACGAGATTCTGAAGAAATCCACTAGTTTTTGGAATGTTTTCCCCATAAATATAAGAAGAAAAATACTTATTTTGTGCAACACATGAGAAGTAGTGTAAGGCAATTGTAATTGAAAATGAGGTCGAGTGCCGCTTATCAAAATTCCTCATAAGGAGTTGTCTAAGAAAGGGAAGCAGCTGTTATTTTAATTCAGATAATTTGACAATGCACATCAAGATACTTGTTTTTCTGAGGTTTAGTAGTTTTTGTTGCCCAGATGGAAAGGTTTTTCCAGGGAGAGATTCTTAGTTTACCTTTCCTGCATGCTTCTATCTCATGTAGGATGTTTCAGAACTGAGGAATGAATTGCAGCGGAAAGAAACACTAATCCAGAAACACTTGGGAAAACTTCGTCACTGGCAACAAGTTCTAGAAGATATTAATGTCCAGCAGAAAAAACCTGCCGAAATGCCTCAGGGACCTCTGGCATATCTAGAACAGGCTTCAGCCAATATCCCTGCACCCCTCAAGCAAACATGAAAAGAAGCATCATTGAAAGGCCAGATTAAAAGTTGCTAGACCTTCCTCATTTTGTACATTCTGTATTGAAAAATATGTTGTTTTTGAAAAAATGGACGGCTACAGCTGTCATTACGTGGATCACAATGTATGATTTTTTAATCACCTGCAAATTGAACACTTTCTCCCCCCCATCTTTGGGGCTGTTATATCCTTTCATTTAAGGAGCAAGAACTGTCACATGAGCTTCCATCATGATACCTGAACCTTTACAAGCGCTCTCTTGTGCTCAGGAGTGATGTAACCATGGCATAAAATACTGGCTGAAATGCAGAGGGTTATTTTAAGTCTGTCTGCAGTCAATTTTGTAATACTTCCCTTTTGAAATATAGTCTCAGTCATTAAGAGATTTCAGATGAGGCAAGAAAGAGGCAAAGGCTTGATGTGCCACAAAAATGAAATGTATGTAAAACAGCCTCTTGACTCTCACGAGAGAGAATTGTCACAATGGTTATGCTACTACTCCATTTCATGGCACGTTGTATTAAACAAACAGTCCTACAGAAAATGCTTGTTTTTGTTTATTTTCTGTCTAAGGGAAATAGCAGAGTAGTTACAATTTTCTTTCCCCAATCCCAAATCAGTGCCTGGTGTTTCAGCTTCCTACCTATTTTACTTCTGTGAATCAAGTTATGCCTTTATCTTTGGATTTTGGAATCACGGTGCTTTTAATTTCCTTGGCACAGTTCCAACTTCTGGTTCTGTGTTTCAAAATTCTTGTGATATAATGTAAAAAGAAAAACTGCCTTTGAGAAATATGTCATGATCTAAATTGCTTTAATTACACATACAAAGCAAAATTACTTTCTGAACAGAGTGTTCGAGTTGGGCAGTTGTATGCTTTAAATAAATAGAAAAAATGTACATGGACAAATCATGGTTTATCTAGCTTTATTTTAATAACGTTACAAATGAACTTCTGGTGAAAGTAGTTTTTATTTTTATGTGATAACAAATTAATTTTATAGTATACGAACATACATGTTACTTTGTTACAGACCATTTATGAGGATTCTGGTTCCCTAAGAATGTCTTATCATATATTGCATAGTGATAATAAGGGTTGGCATTTTAAAAGTTGTTCTTCATTTTCTTCCTCTTAAAAGTAGTTTGACACTTTAACAGTTGGCACTTAATTCTTTGTGTTTGTCACAATTCAGCATAGAAACCAACAGAATTGCCTCCAAATCTGAGCTGGACCGTGGTTATGATGTCTGCAGGCAGTGCAGATATACTATTGTTACTTTGTTTAAACAGATGTTAGAAGAACATTTAGGATAACATTGTAGTTATGTAATGAGATTTTGTCCCGAAAGCTGTAAAAAATAAGCCTGAATTTAAGTGGAGTTGGATGAAGTATCCCAGCTGTTTTGACACTGGCATGCCGTCATTGTGAGTTTATACATCGATCCCAATGAAGTATATTCTTTCACTGAAATACTTCCACTAGGAGAACTTTTTCTCTTCTTTGCAGGCCTCTCACACATTCTCAAAATGTGTTTCTGGCAGTTGGGGCAGACGAGGAGGATGTCCCAATGGGTAAAATTGTAAAATGCGATTTTGCCCAGTATGAATTTAATGCTCAGTGCTAATTTAAATATATTACATTCTAATATAAGTATTTAACACAGCACTGCAAGCCCTTATTTATTTTTAAATAAAATTAAAAAAGAATCACAGATGCATGCAGATTCATCCTTGGCTAGATTCATTCTCTGTACTGCACTGTGTACCTATGTTGTAGACAAGGTTAAGAGCTCAGCTGTGACTGAGCCTACTAAAAACATTCCACTTCTAGATACAATATACATTTTCTAAAGTATATGTATAGCAAAACTCCAAAGCAAGTTAACTGATTTTGGCTTGTGAAGATCTTACTAACAACTGGGAAAAGTAGCCAATAAACTTTAAATAGAGTTTAAGTGTTGCTATTAATATTTCAAAGTGCCAAATAGCTTAGGACTGGAAACCATCAAGGGCCACCTCTTCCCATATATCTATGTGGCTCTATCTATTTTGCTATTTTCTTGTTTTTTTTTATAATGTAAATTGCCCAGAATTGGCATTCTTTAAATCTATGTAAATAAATAAATAAATAGATAAATAATAAATGTCTACTTGTGTAGTGAAATCTTCCTTACAAATTTTACTTGCTTCAGATTTGGTGAAATGGGCCTTTGCAGTGGTGGATTCCCAGCTTTGAAATATTCTTCCAAGGTTATTGGCCTAAGACTGATGTCTTTTTAGTACCTAGGCTTATGTTTCCTAGCCACTGAAATAGCCAGTTTTGTTCCGCACAAGTTTCTTTGTAAGTTGCATGGCTTCAAATCTGCTCCACTGGTTTTGATGTTATTGCTGATATAGTATTAATAGCTGTTAAAATGATCAAGTATAGTAAGATACTTATAATCCATTTTACCTAGTATTTGCTGAATACCAAGACTAGTTATAAATTAATATCATTTAAAAACATCATTAATTTTCCTTTACAACAATGAACTGTCATGTTTACTTTTACTATTGAATCTCTTATATTTAGCTGCTTGTGACCTGTGATTCTTTCCTTGTTACTCTGCAGGATACCATATAAAGCACACTGTATAAATATTTAATAACACTAATGGCAATGCTGATTATTGTAGAAACGGTTTCATCAGAAAGAAAAATATTTTGTAAACCACTCTTGGTGCCGTGAGTCTGGTTTCTGAGTGTCTTTGAGTTTTGATGTTTCATTACTTTGCAGACTGAAAAAAAGTTAAAAAAAATATTCAGTGTAGTGATACTTGTCTGACACACTGTGTCCTAAGACTCTGTTTTGGAAGAAATGAGACTAGTCTTGAAACATGTTTGCTGCAAACACCTCATTAGCTGAATCAATCAATTGAGGAACTGGAACCTAATTGAAACTTAAAACAAATACTGGAAGAAGCATAAATAATAAGTGAATGTTTGCTATCTCTCTAAATCCATCACATTTTGAAGAAATTACATGCTGTCAGACTCCAGTGTGAACAAACTCTTGTTTGGGGTTCCAGAAATAAAGCTGGCATATCATAATTAAAAGCTATTCATTTATTTTTCCATCCACCCAGCAATTAATGCCTATTGATTCCATGCTTCAGGAGAACAACTGGAGGGTCATAAGGCAGCTTGGAGTCTTCTTAGAAGAAAACCCAATCATCACCCAAGAAGGGTATGGCAAACGTTTAGCATAGCATGTGAACATATTCTATGTTTGTAACATGGTGTTTGCTTCATGTTCTTTAAATTACCGCAATCAGTTACAGGCTGTCTTGATGGATGGGTGAATAAGGGGTGCATAACCCTCCCAAATAAAAGATACAATCAGTGGCCACAACTGTGGTTTCTCATGGCAATTATCTACCCCAATCAATCTTCTTTAGCTTAATTTTTAACTGAAGTTAAAGCGCAGACATACTCTACAAAACAAACCACTGCAAATGAGGAAAGGTATGGATACCGGGTTGCCCTTTAACAATGATATAAAAGTTAAAGCAAAGGTTTTAAATCTTGCAGAGTCTGATTTCTGTCAGCTCCTTCCTCTTTTTAATTTCAAATACTTGTACTGCATTTGGGGGGAGGACAGTGACAGCATCTGTATTCTCAAACTGCGTTCACCATATAGCAGATATAAACTCTATATTCAAGAATTACAATATATATTTCATCATACCTAAGCCATGTTGGATCAGGTAAATCTTACTGTTTGGATTTTCTTAAATTGTTTCCAACCGATGTGATATTTTGAACCCCTTTGGGGGAGATATTCTGATGAAGACTAGAGATGCTTGACTGATATATCCAGATAAATCTTTAAATGGTGCTTACAGACATGGTACACATAGGATCCTAATTGCTTAGTCCCTTGGTGCTCACAAAGGATTCTACCCCTTTCTACAACCATCAACTCACTGATAGGTTTTGGGGACCAACCATGGCAAGAGGAAAAAGTTCTCAGCGCAGAAACAAGATAAAAAGGTTTTGTTCGTTTTCATTTGAGGTATTCAGCCTAGCATTTAAAAAAAAAGCAACTGTTACTTTCTAAATCAAATAGCTCTGAGATAACAGGGCTCCAGCATTGCTTTTCTCATTACCCCAAACACATCATTTGCTTCATAGGAAATGTCAGTTGCTTTTATCTTGCCAACCATTCATTTTCATTGAGGTATGAGGGTTTGTGCATGCTTTAAAAATCAAAACGGAATTACAAATAATAAACCAAGAGAGTGACCTGGATGGTTCTTTTATATTGGAATTACAAAAGAGGTTTGTTAAAGCTTGGATGAATCTTGTGAGAAGAGATAAAAAAAAATGAAAAGAAATCAAGTTCTATGACATTACTTGAATGAACTAAAGATTAAGATTGTTAAAAATAAAAGGAAGGAATATAAAGTTGATTTGTTTGATCAAGGTTAAAATAGATATATTGTTATTTCTGGTAACACTTAATGGACTTGCTGACACCAGGACTGAAATGACAATGCTTTATGGATTTGTTTATAGATAAAAGATGGGACATGGGATGAAGAGATCATTGGTTGTAAATTAAAAGGAGGTAAAAAGTCACTAAAGTTGTTTATACTTGTGAGGAAGGTTGGAAATCACTTCTTTATATATTTTCTTTTTTATTATATTCTTTCACTCTTTTTTTCCTGTGCACTTTTTATTCTTTCTACTCTTCTTTCTTTTAGTTTGTATTAGTTTTTACTATTTGTAATTATAATCTTTAATAAAATTATTTTAAAAAAGTTCCAGGGCTTAAAATACTAATTTTTTTATCTATGTTTTAGTTCTCATCCTGAAGCAAAATAAGGATGTTATCTTGTAAGACAATAATAAAAGATGGAGATGGTGTTATCACCAAAAAGAAGGAGGGGGAGGAGGTATGAGGGTTTGTGAGAAATTCTAAGATTATCTAAGGCAGCAATCAGGGGTGCCTGGAGATGTGCGGGGAGAAATATAAATATAAATAAATAAATAAATAAATAAATAAATAAATTACATAGTTGCAATCACCATTCTGACACACACGCACACAGCCCTGTGGATACCCCCAATAACAATGAATGATGATTAATAGTGTATTCTTCCCTAGCAAATACAAATGGGTGACTTACCTTGAGGGTGGTTTATTCTCCAAGGCCGGGATTGATGGACAACAGACTCGGACACAGCCTAGATTTTGATCCAAACCTGTAGATTTTATATTCTGAGGTTGTGTTCTTTTAGGCCTCAACTCGCCACTCAGAAAGCTTTTTGCGTAAGATGCTAAATTTGGAACGGTGACAATGCAGCTGGGAGCAGCTTCATCCATTTTCTTCTTCTGCTTTATAATAATGACACATCATAGCTTAAAACAAGCTGTGCGCAAAACCTAATTTCAGTGCTCAGCATGTAGGAATAGTTGAACATCATCACATACATTTGGTCCATAATATTTAAACAATTCAGTAAAGGATGTCAGTTTTTATTATTCCCCATTACAGTGATATTGGAAAACAGCAGCAGGCCAGAACTACTTCAAGCCAAAGATAAATGCAATCTGGGGACTTCCCATATCACAGTGTTATATATTTTACAACAATCGAAAGTTTAGAGACTTGATTGTTGCAGCACAATTCTTCTTGCTGAGTTTAGGTTTGCAGTTCGTGATTGCACAAAATTCATGGATGTCATGGATGACAAGGAATATCATAGGTTTCATGATATCATGCAATTCATAGAAATTATTCAACTGCTTCTATGGGATACCTATGGATAAGACGGGCGTGAGAAAGCCAAATTGCATGGAGGCATAAATAAATAAACATTGGTCCAGGAAGAAACAGTCCAGCTTCAGGAAGCTAACTGGTTTGTTGGCTGCCCATGATTGCAAAAATGAGATACTGGACACCTGGCAAGCTGGCATTCTTGGTTTGATACAGGTTCATGGTAAATAATTACTATATTACAGTAAAAAAAAACACACTGAAATATTTTAAAAGCAAATCATGGGCATCTCTGAGCTTATAATACCATATGTTTTAAGTAAATGGAAGAAAATTGCGCAGAAAAGTCAACTTTGATGATTTTCCCTCTTCCGTAGGAAGCCATCATTCAAAATAGAAACCCTTGGTTGGGATCACACTATATCTGGTAATAATACACCAATTACCAGCATTTGGAACACAGAAAGTATTTATACTAGTTTTGGAAACTAGAATATATCTCATAATGATTTACAACAACTTCGGCTTCTTCAGCAGCTTTAAAACCAGCAGGGATCATTATGGTTGGAAAGAAACTATGTACAATAAACACACAATAATATATTGTTTATTCTCTGGCTTCATGTGAAATTCATAACTTTCTAACTAGGGGTGCCTCCAATATTCTATGAATGGAGTGAAAAGAAAGCTAAGCTTATGACTAGACTCTTGTGAATATTAGAGAGGTATTTGGTTGCTTTTAGTTGAAACAGAAGTGAAACCCAAGGTTTTTCTATATTAGAAATGTATTACCTTTGCAATAGGCGTCAAACATGTTACAGGACTTGTATTGAAAGAAAAAGATCGATTGCACTGCATCTCCCTATTAGGGAGAAGCGGATGCTGAAATGTTCTTCCATCCTGTTAAGGAAAAAAACAGGTGCTGATGATAGAGCATTAATTTTAGAGCAATTAAAAAACCTTTTGCAGAAGCTGAAAAATGCTTCTGGTATGGAAAGTACTGCATTAATTTTGAATTCAAATGGAACAAGCTGACAGTGTTCTCAAAGTGTACAGCTGTGCCACAGGGGTGCACATTCACATAAAGTTAATCAGAGCCTCTGCAAGCTTCTTTTTCTACCAGCTTCTCAGAGCAGGAAAATGTGTACACACGAAAAGGGCGTGACATCACATCAGTCATGACATCATGATTTTCCACTGCTAGAGAGTAAGGTAGTACTGAAAGTAATGCAGTTGTGTAATTCCTTTGAGGAGCACTTTTAGGGAAAAAAAAGGTTTTATCAAAAATAACAGCTTTTTCTGATTTTTAAATTAGTTGTTAAACACGACTGGTTGGAGAAAACCTCACCATTAACTCCTTGATCATCTCTTCTTTTTCATTTAATTTATCTTGCAGGCGACTTATAAGATGAAGATCTTCCAGCCTAGGTGCCCTCTTTCTTGATTTCTCTTCTACTTCCTCAAGTCTGTGTTGATTATAGGATGAAAAACTCTTGAAGATACCAGAGCACACACTTGTCTTTGTTAACTGCAAACACTATAAAGTATAGCACTAGAGTTGCTTCTGTAATTGAGATGGCATGCAACTTTATTAAATAAATCTAATTTCTAGTTCAAGTCTCTCACATTGCGCCATTTTGCCCTTCAAGCAAGGACATCTGCGAGGGGGTCATAATGTCAAGATGGCAGCTAATAGATCAGAAAGTGTGTAATTTTAGGGTAATGCATCTGTACTCATATTCCTTAGCTGAAAAAAATTGATAAATAAAGTCTGATCTACTTAGGTCTTCCTGGAAGTAAAGCCACTGAACCCAGAGGGAATTATTTTGCATAACAACTTTATGTTATTAAATGCACAGGTACTTTATATTTGTATGCATTAATCTAGTTCAAAATCTAATGTCTATCAAATAATTTTGCTAAGCACATAAATTTCCCTTTATCAGGTTTGATAACTGATGTGAAGAGAGGGATAGATGGGAACGTTCCAAGGACAGGGAGCAAATAATCTACATTCAGACTTTGTTTTCCTACAAATGCATTCAATAAATAAAAAATAATCTCTTCATTAATGTTATGCCACATTATTACATTATTATTATTCCTTTGATGCCTCCCTTCAAAACAAAGTAGCTGGAAATACAGTGGAAATTATAGCTGACTTTTACAAGGCACTTGCATACCCTCCCCTCTTCAACATTACAGAGGCTAACAATAACCATGGTTTGAAGGATTTGGTTGGATGATCACACCTCATTACTTCTTCAAGGGGAGATGATCAAGGCTGGGAAACAGAAAGCGATGGCAAGCCTCTTCTCTATTGTGCCAAGAAAACAGTGTGATAGAACCTCACTTCACCAAGATCAAATGAGATTTAGCATCTTCCAATTATTCATTTCTTTTAAAGTTTGTCCAGAATTTGTATCCCCGTATATTTATTCTTTTGCCACTCACACAGAAAGTCTTCTGAAACTTGAAGTAATATGAAAGTTGCAAAGATTTGAAGTTACACGAAAAGCTGTCTGAACTTCATCTTGTCCAGCTCAACCACTCACTGCAGGGCATGGTGTTAGAATGCTCTCCATTGTACACTAGTAGGTCTCAAGCCAGCAAAGGAAAAAATCATTATTTTTAACAGTGATATAAGTATATACAAGAGAACAGTTGCATGTGAGGGGTTTAGGCACGGCAGGTATCAAGAGATCCTTCAGTGAACAGAGCTGACACAATCTCTGCATGTTGTGAAATTAAACACACAATCTTTCTGCAAATCTCAATGCCTACTTACTATTAATGTGTGACTTGTTTACGAATCCCAAACCAAGTAACACCTCCTTCGGCAGAAATAACAGCTTCCAACATTTGCTTCAGCAGCTAAGAGTCTTTCTATTCTCTTTTTTGGAATTTTCCCCCACTTTTCCTTGCAAAATTCTTCTAGTTCAGAAATATACTTGGGTTTCCTTGCAAGCACTGCATGCTTGAGATATCCCCACAGATTTTCAATAACAATCAAGTCTAGGGACTATAGAAGATAAAAATAAAACAAGCTTTATCTTTCTTTCTTATAAGTACTTCATAACTGATTTGGAAGTATACTTGGATCAATGTCTTGCTGAAATATCCAACCTCTCTTCAGCTTCAATTTCTTCACTGACTGTAAGATGTCAGTTTCTAAGACACATTGATATTCAGTGGATCCATTCTTCCTTTCATCTACACAAGATTTCCTGTGCCACTAATTATCACATAACCCCAAAGCATAATAGAGCTTCTCCCATGCTTAATAGCTTCCAAAGTGTTCTTTTCTTCAAATCCTCTCCTCTCCTGTATCTTGTGTGGTTATGGCTAAACATGAGTCTGAACCACTTTCTTCCAAAATATTTCAGGCTTACCAGTGTTCCCCAGCCATTCTGGGGAATTCTGGGAGTTGATGTCTACACAATGTAGAGTTGCCAAGGTTGAGAAACACTGCTTTAGGCAGTGACATCTGTGACGAGGTTGAAGAAAGAGCTTCTCTCTGAAAACTGTCTCATGCAGATTATTGTTATAAAAGTAACACTTGTGGAGTTGTAGACAACTCCTCTAGTGTCAGCTAAGTTTGTCCAGGTCATTTCAGTGATCTGTTCTGGAGATCTGACCCTTTTCTGGGCACTTCTAGCAGGGATTTTACTTGTTGTTTCAGATCTTGCTTTGACTTCAACAGTTCCATGTTATTTCCATTCCTAAGCAATGTTTCTCACAGCTGAACGTGCTAGCTGGAAGCATTTAGAGATTTTTAAAATAGATTTCCCCTGCTTTGTAAGAATGAATCATCTTGATTTCCAAATGCTCAGATGGTTGCTTAGAGGAGCCCATGGTAGTTTAAAGCAGATAAAGCAACAATCACAACCTGGTGATTAGATGGGTCAGAATATATGTTCATTGTGGAATTGTTTCCCCCTAATTGTAGGCCAAGTTAGTCAATCACTAACTTTGGGTCTTATTAACAACAATACAGGAAAAAAATGTAGCAGTGTATCAACTGGATGGGTGCCCAGTATTCCTCTTCCTTACCGTGAATCTATAAACCACAGCATATAAATAGTAACTAGGGATTCCACTTTGCAGAATGATGTTGAGTTTATTTCAAGGCTACGTTAGGCATTCACTGAAACTTACAATCTGACCAGAGATACTAAACTTTTGCACGTAATTATATGTCCTGCTTCATGCCTTGGACTGACCAAGGCACTGAGACCATCCCATGGTTGCTATGGGGGTTATTAATTCCAGAACCAGTGCCAAGAAGGCAACCCCCACAGGGATGGTGAAATCCCCAAGGATCACTATTCTGGGAATCTCCAGTATCACGTCAGACAGTGTCCTGGACAGCTCAAATAGGAAAGCTGTTGGATAGTACGTTAGCCCCTTTGACCCAACAGCAGGAGCAAACTCTGAACACCTGCATTTAAAGGGCTTCTTGGTGAGAGCAACGGCATCTCTGTTGATTGTAGCCACTTCCCTCGGATCTTCCAGCTGTGCCTCTCCAAGTAACTAATGGGAAGGGTTCGGTCCAACCAACCCCCTCCCCATGTAGTCCACCAGCCAGGGCTTAGCAGTGCCCACCAGGTTGGCCCTCTCCTCTGCTATTCAATACAGAATGATGGCTTGAACTGGTCTGAAGTTTCCCAAGAGGACACCTGAATTAGCAGGCAGAATACAAGGGCAACTAGATTCTGGTGAATGGGGGACAGACAGATTTGGCAAGTGGTATGCTGCCTAAAAATCATGCGGATTCCTAGTGATGTCAGTTCTTGCCATTTTCAGCCGGTCACATGTTCTGAAAGGCACCTCTCAATAGATTGTTGGGCTTAATGTTAAAAAGAAAAGAAGAAGAATGAGGGGCAAAAGAGCATTCCCCAAATGAATCCATTTCTATCAATCTCATTACTGTATCACCTTCAGTTGCTTAACACAAAGGAAAACCCAGTCAGCTATTCACTGAGCACAAGCAATTAATGTTAACAGAGGGATGATACATGGAAGGCCTTATCCACAACTTACTTTATCTACTTTCCACAACCTTAATGATGTCAGGTTCGGTCAGCACGAGGCTTCAGGGAAGCACGGGGCTGCAGGGAAGCTCGC